GCCGGAGTGAAGATAGGCAGGGATGTGGTGGGAAAAAAGAAAAAACATCCGTAATGCTCTTTTAACCCACGGACTCAATGCGGCCAAAAATACAGGTCTATTTGCTTTCAATCGAGGAGTCTCTTTACCCTTTAGAAAGAAAAAGAAGAAAAAAGGACAAACAGGTCAAGGAAGAAGAAGAAGAAGAAAGCAGACAGGGAGAGGAAGAATCCTGTTAGCCCGAGGGGGTCCTAAGAGAAAAAGGAAAAAACAAGGAGGAATTCCTAAAAGAAAACGTCATTTAGATGTGTTTGACTGAGAGAGAGAGAGAGAGAGAGAGAGTATAAATAGGACAGTCCAGGGAACAGAAGGTTCATTTGTGAAAACTGAATCCTAGTAGACACATCATGTTACAGCCCGATTCCTGTGCGTGTGGGATGAACAATTTAGAATTGTTTCAAGTCCCTCCGACTAATATTGCTTTAGAAGACTCGAAATGGGAAGAATATTACCCCATTTCCAGTACTTTAGATTCCGACACCGCTCCCATCGAATTTGAAATCAAAGGACAAGGAGATCACTATCTGGATTTATCTCAAACTTATGTTCAAATGGTATGTAAATTTACCAAAGACGATGGAAGTAATCTGACTGGGGCAAACAGCACTTCCAGTCCCGTGAATAATATCTTACATTCCATGTTTACGGAAATCGATGTCAGTCTGAATGGAAAAATAGTGACTCCGGGGACAGATACCTATCCTTACAAAGCTTATCTGGAGAAATTATTGTCTTACCGACCCAGAACTTTAAAGACACAGACGAGGGCCTGTAGTCTGTGGGAAAAAGATACAGCAGGACACATGGACGAAGTGGGGTTAGACGACCTTGGTGTAGCTGCAAATAAAACCTTTAATGTAACCCCGGGTGCAAATGGTGCGGCTGACACGGTGACCATTAACCAACCCATCCTCACAGCGTTACCGGCCAATTCTAAAAACGAAGGATTCCGAAAAAGACACCAAGCTATTGCTGACAGTAAGAAAATCAGTTTGCTGGATACTTTACATTTGGATTTGTTTCAACAAGATCGATTTCTACCTAATGGAGTGGACGTCCGTTTGCGATTTAATCGAGCTAGACCTTCTTTCTACATGATGATCAAAGGAGGAAGCACAGGAAAAGTGAAAATATTGAGTATGATCTTGTGGGTGAGAAAAGTCAAACCCACAGCAGTCATGATGAATACCATTAATCAGAGTTTGAATACCCACAGAGCCAAATATCCCTTGAGAAGAGTGGAAGTGAAAACCTTTACCATTCCCATAGGGACCCAGTCTAAGATAACGGATCATCTGTTTCAAGGTCAGATGCCTAAACGTCTCATTTTAGGCTTTGTGGAGAATGCGGCCTTTAACGGAGATAAAACTAAAAATCCCTTTCATTTCCAAAACTTTGGGATCAAGAAATTAGATGTCAGTATCAACGGAGAGACCATGAGTACTCGTTGTTTTGAGCCTAATTTCAACGACGATTTATATCTGAGATCCTATCTCAGTCTGTATCAAGCTCTGGGGAAATTAGGAGAAGATTGGGCTCCGGACATTACCCTAGAAGAGTATAAAAGCGGCTACACTCTATGGGGCTGGGATTTCACTAAAGATCAAGAAGCGCAATCGGATAAATTCCACATCATAGAAACAGGAAATCTGAGAGTAGAAGTGCAGTTTACCAACAATACGGTTAACACCATCAATTGTGTGGTGTATGCAGAATTCACATCAATCGGATTAGAAATTAACAAACAGAGAGAAGTGAGCATTGATTATAAAAAAGAAACAGGACAATCTGAGAGTATCCAGAGAATTCAAGTTTCCAACAATACGGATTTATTACGGACAATCAATTGTGTGGTGTAGATCGACCTGGAGAACATTGGGTGTGATGTAACTTATTAGAAATTAACAAACAGAGAGCGTCATGCTCAGCAATGGATTTATAATCCGTATCGGATGCTCAATCCGATTTATATCGCTATCAAGATGGTGTGTGTGGACAATATTGCGTGTATTATTTACATCAAAGAGATAAAGAAAGAAATTGAGAGAGTGGCTTATCCAGTACGGCTTTACAAGAGTTCTTAAAAACACTTATCATAAATTAGGCGTGTATGGACAAAAATGTCAATGTTTTTATCAAAATGATTGTAAATGAGTTGTTTGTTGTTTGTTGGTTGTTTGACCTGGAAAAAAAAAAAGCTGTTCTTATTATTATTTATGTGTTAGTGTTTTCATATGCAACAGGGTATAAAAAAAAAGATCCTAAAAAAGATGATCTCAACAGACCTGGAGAACATTGGGTGTGTCTAGATGTGCAATCAGGTATAATAAAGATTCTTATGGATTTCCTCCCTTATAAAAAGAAATGCAAGATTTTATCCATATAAAAAGATAATGCATCGCTACATGTGTGTCAATAAAGTGTATTATTTACATGCAAAGAGACAAGTATAAAAAGATGATGCAATAGATATAAAAAGATGATGCAATTGGTATAAAAAGATGATGCAATAAAGGTGGGGGTATGGACAAAAACAATGTTTTTATAAAAATGTATTGTAAATGAGTTGTTTGTTGTTTGTTGGTTGTTTGTTGTTAATAAAAAATGAAGAAAAAAAATATGTGTTCTTATTATTATTTATGTGTTAGTGTTTTCAGTATGCAACAGGGTATAAAAAAAAGATGATGCATAGATATCAAAAAGATGATGCAACAGGTATAAAAAAGATGATGCCTTATATAAAAAAGATGCAATAGATATAAAAAGATGATGCAAACCTATGGAGATGATGCAACAGGTATCAAAAAGATGATGCAGATATAAAAAGAAGCAATAGATATAAAAAGATGATGCAACAACTATAAAAAGATGATGCAATTCAAGGTGGGGGTATAAAAACAAGGTGTTAAAGATTTATCCTCCTCAGTTGGTGGGGCATGTGGTTGATAAACGACAGTTTGGCAAATGTCCAATATTAGAAGACATGGAGATGGATAAAGATAAATTTACCTTATTAGAAAAGAGAATGACGGAACCTACGGAGGGGGATCACAAAGCTCTTCAAACAAAAAGAAGAATAGAGTTGAAAACCTTGGATCCGGAACCTAAGAATGAATATTTACCCCTGCATGAGCCTATCAAGGATCCCAAATGTCCAGACAGATTTTACAGGACAGCCATTAATTGGACTTTCATTATTAAAGAGCCTAAAGAAGAAGAAGATATAGACATGTTTCTGAGCAACCAAGATGATTTCTTCTTCGGTTTCCAGTATTTGATTCTTCAAAAGGAAAGACATCCCTGGACAGGAGAACTGCATCAAATCAGGGGATTCATTCAAATGAAGGAACCAGAAGGAGGACTGACTATGTGCAGACTTCATATCGCTGCCAATTTTTTTTATGTCTCACAGTACTCCAGAACTGGAAAGTATGTTTTACAAGCAAGGAGGTGACTATGAAGAATATGGTGTTCTGAAACCTGAGGAGAGAAATAAGGAATTGGAGCCCAGAGATTGGATAGAATGGGAGATAGGAGCTTGGAAGAAACCTGAAGCTATTGCAGCTAGAGAAGCTAGGAAGAAAAAGTTCTTAAAGAATGTGAGCTGGTCAAGATGTGAATAAATAAAAAAGATTGAACTGTTATTTATTGTTAGATCTCAATAAAAAAAGAAAAAAAATTGTGGCTTTTTTGTCATTTTTAAAAAATAGGTTATCTCCCTTTAACCATAGATTTTTTTTTCAAAAACACCAAAACAAAAAGTGTTGAGGGGTTTTTTAAAGATTGATAAAAATAGATACAATTTCTAAAAAAAAACAGTATAAATAGTAAACATGGTACAAAACACACCTCAGTTGTGGACTGGTTTCATTATGGGTAACACCTCCAGTAAAGAAATGAGTCAGAACACTAGATTAAAGGAAACTGAATGGTTACTTATACAGGAGGGAGGAAAAGATATCATACCACCTCCCTTGATGGTAGAACATCCTGCAGTATTTATACCACCTCCCTTGATGGAAGAACATCCTGTAGAATATAAACCTCAGGAGGAGGAAAAAGAAAACATAAGACCAAACAACAAACTCTTGGAGGATATTAAGGCTCATTATCAAAATAAACAGAAAGAAAATACAGGCAATGGATATATTGCTTACTTAAAACAAGACAGAGGTAGAATAGCCAATAATTGGATATTTAATTTAACTGGGTGCCAGACAGGAAGATGTAGATCAAATCATTGGAAGTGATTATCAATACTTGATCTTACAAAAAGAAAGGCATCCAGAAACTGGAAAACTTCATCATGTGAGAGGATTCATTCAAATGAAAAACAGAGTTCAAGGGAGATACATGTACAGAAAGATTCATAAATTAACCTGTTTTGAGATGTCTTACAGCACTCCAGAATTGGAAAGAACTTTTTATAGACAAGGTGACTATGAAGAATATGGAGTTTTAAAACCTGATGTGAGAAACAAAGAATTAGTTCCAAGAGATTGTAGATTTACCTGAATAAAAAAAAAAACTTGTTTTATTGTGTTGTTGTTGTTCTATAAAAACAAGGGTGTTTTTAAAAAATAGATTCATTTTACATCATGAGTCTCCAGGAGATACAAGGTGATTTACTCAACTGTGAGGTAGAAGCTATTGTTCATCAATGTAATTGTTTAACTATAAAAGCTCATGGATTGAGTCAAAGTATTGCAGAGAAATTCCCACAAGCTAATCTCTATGCCACTCGCAGACCTCTAGGGACTAGAAATTTAGCCGTAGAAGAAGATAGAGGAATTCCAGGCACTATTAAGGTGTTTCCCTCACAAACCCCTGTGGTCATTTGTTTATTAGCTCAATGGGATTATGGAAAAGCAAGTCACCGACCTAAAAGAATTTCCACTTATCAGGATACCCCACAAAACAGAGAGCAATGGTTTCAAACTTGTTTACAAGAAATGGGGGAAAGTTTACCTTACCAGACTTATGCTTTTCCTTACAAGATTGGGTGTGGACTAGCCCAAGGAAATTGGATTCATTATAGACATTATATTGAACAATTTGTACACACTTATGAAAAACATGTGTACATTCTTCATCATCATTAATTGTGTGTGTTTTCATGTGATGTAAAAATAAAGAAGAAAAAGTACCTTTTTTATCTGTCATACTCTAATGTCTGTTTTAAACAGGAGGTCCACTGTAATCCCATGCACTCATAAGCAGATCTCTGGAGGGGTCAGTAGAAAACACTCAAGTAGTTTTTTTTTTCCCTGTGATATAATGTCAAATATTTTAATGGAAAATTCAGAAATTCATCAGCACTTAAAGATAAAAAACTTGTTATCTTTATAGTATTGATTTTTCCTTATCAGATTTATTTTTTATCCATTTTAAAAATATAAAACATTTAAAATAAAAACTCATAATAAAACAGAATTAAATAAATTAAAATGATATATTGAAACTTTTATTTAGATTCAAGTTTTTGTTTTTATGTTAGTTATTTCACTGTGTATTTCCCAAAGGAATTTGGGCAGCCAGCACGCTTCACTTCACTTAGAGAATGGATTGGTTAGGAACAAAACATATCTTCCAGGTTTGAGGACTGTATAGAAAAATAAAACCCATTTTTGTTATTAAATTACATGAGACAATGCCTCTTATAAATGTAATACAAAAATAATATCTCTTATATATATGGATTCCTATACTCTAATCATATTAAATGTCATTTGTAAAAAATGTATTTTTTAAAGACAGATTTTATTTAAGATCTACTTTTTAAATGATGACATGAATAGCAGACCATACTTTAAGCACATGACAAAAACATTTTCTCAAATTACACAGAAATGGATTATTTAGCATAGCTGACATGAAACATATAGATGAGGGATAACATAATCACATTTATAAACAATGTGAAACAACTTTAAACGACCTACAGGGTAGATTACAAGCCTTTTTCACTGGGGTAAAATCTCGCCGAAATTCGCTATGGCCGCCGAACCCGAACCCGACTGTATAAAGATGAAGTCATAAAAATAACATAACACTGATATAGTATTTTTTTTTTATTTTATTTCTTAAAAACTAACAATGCTTCTAACTGTCGAATTCTTCTCCGAAATCGTATTCGATCCGCTACTAATTGCACCCAGGGACTTCTCCGGTCTTCGGGGGGTAATTCGTAGATTTGATTGAGGCTGGTATTAAAAGTTACGGATTTCCTAGCCTGTGTGAAATTTCCAGGTATTTCATTCCGTATTGAATACATACTTTCTCCATCGCATCTATGTCCTGCCACAGTAAAATCACTTTGCCCGCTTGGGGATGGGTCAGGAAACTGTAAGGCTTTCCGAAATAACGGGTCAGGTTCAGTCCGTACCATTTCTGGGGCAGAATTGTTTTCATATGTCGACATAGAAAATGTATGGTAGCTAGTCTCCCCATGGTCGTCGCATGATGTGATAAGGCTAGGCATAGTAACCATAAATCCTGAAGGGTTTCCATGATAGTGCTCGCTTCCTGAAATACTTGTTCTGCCTCCGGGGGTAGAGATTCTTGGTGGTTTTGTGCCCATCGTACTAAACAATCATACCCATCTAAAATCAGAGAGTGAGTGTGTATCAGGGTTGACATGATAGTCGATTGTGAAGAAAGGATCAGACTTTTCTTCTCATTTATACCCCCTCCGTATAAAACTTAGGTAAAAGGTATTTTTGGCACACGGTCCCCCCCTTACAGGTGATGCAACAGGTATAAAAAAAAAAGATGATGCAATAAGTATTAAAAAGATGATGCAACAGGTATTAAAAAGATGATGTAGATATAAAAAGATGATGCAACAGATATAAAAAGA